GTTCTCGTCACATCCTCAGAGACTGCCGTTAACATGGTGTCTAGACCTGAACGGATCAAAGCGACTTTGTCTGCAAAGAACCGAGCAAATGCTTCACAGCTGGCCGCCGAGTTGCCAGGGCTCCCATCCGCGATGGTGGGTTTTAATAGGCCTCTGACAACTCGAAATAGCTCCGCTGGACGATTCTTTGCAGACGCAATATTGGCCGCAAAGAAGGATTTCTTTGCAGCTTTTATTGCCACGGCATATGCCCTTAGAAGGGCAACAAACCGTGTTCGGTTTGACTCGCTCGGGTCCAAACGCCACACACGCTCAACTTTACCCAGCCACTCCTTGTGAAAATGAAGCTGAGGATCTCTAGGATGGTTCTCCAAATGCTCCTAGGATCATGGTTGGTTTCCTTCCTTGTTTCCATCCCTTTCTTCTGGTATGAAAATTGTGAGAATTTTTGCAATGGATCAAAAATAGTTTGGGGCAGCATCAGTGGACCATGTCAAGCTCAGACTCTACCAAATAGACTTGCTTTTGCTTTATATACGGTGGGGACATTTCTGCCTGCTATTATGTACTTAATGTCTTCTGTCATATTGATTCACTCCCTTGTACATCATGTTAAGAGACTACAAGGGAACACTGAAGGTTTTCCAGATCAGAGGCTAGTTGTTCACCTCAGAGCTGTTAAAATGCTGGTTTCCTTTCTTGTCCTCTACACTGCCAACCTTGTATCTGTGGTTGCAATCACCTTGTTCCCCAGCATTTGGACTCATATTATCTCCACAACTGCCATTGTTAGCTACCATTCAGGACATACCATTACTTTGATTTTCATAGATTCCCAGTTAAAGCAAGCATTAAACAAGCTGCTATGTGGTGCCATGAGGCAATGTCTGAGCAAACCGCTGCCATCCTTCCATCCCAAGACCTCCAAAAGAACATCATCTCCATAAGGAAATGAGAACTATTTTACGTTGCTTCTAGTCTTCACAAACTGTTTATTGGTTTCTTCAAAATGCCCTGAATGTTACCCTAGAGGAGAAATTTCCAGACTGACCTTATTTCTAGGTGACAAATATGGGCTTGGAGCAGTGGTTCTCAACCTGGGGTCCCCAGATGTTTTTGGCCTACAACTCCCAGAAACCTCAGCCAGTTTACCAGCTGTTAGGATTTCTGGGAGTTGAAGGCCAAAAACATCTGGGGACCCCAGGTTGAGAACCACTGGCTTGGAGGAATCTGGGGATATTTCATCAGTTTTATGTCTTCCCTCCCTCATTTGTCTTAACTGTTTCCATTCTATTTATGAAGAAATCTGTGAATTTGGTAAGTTTTCGTCCAGGTCTTAAGTTGAAGGGACCTACCAAAAGAATACTATGCATTCTCCTTTTCTAGTCCTATAACTGATGAGTCTGCTCGCAGACTCTTGGGTGCTTCTACACTGTTGGATGAAGACGGTTTGACCACTTCAACTGCCATAGCTGAATTCTATGGAATTATGAGAGCTGTAGTTTTACAAGGACTTTATCCTTCTCTGTCAAAGAGTGCTAGTGCTTAAACAAATCAGTGTAGCCTGTAAATTGCATAGACGCACCATCAGTGAAGCTACTTCAGAAATATAGTTCAGTGCAATTTGAAATATTATAATAGTCCACTTTTAAATTTTGCTCCATTAATCATTGTGAGTGTCTGTACATGTATGAATGGAAACTAATAAATAATGTTGAGCTTATTCCTGGTGAGAACCTGTCTTCTATTACTGAAAGGAATCTGTTTGTTATGAGATCCTCAACCTAATACTATGCAAGATTCGTCACTCCCCCCTGCTATAGTATACCCCATTCAACAGAATCCCTACATATTCTCTGTAGTATTTTCTTGATGCTGGAAGCAGCGGAAGCTGATGTTTCTAATATCACTGGTGAATGAATCCCATCCAGATTTTGGTCTGAATTTTACTATTTTGGCATTGTACATGTTTTAAGTTTCATTAATGCACACTATCAAGTTCCCAAATAAATTCAGGACCATGGATAGCTTCTTTACAGTTCAAACTGGAAATGGCTTTATGATAATTAATGTTATTGTTTTAATCTATTGTGTATTTATGATTTTATATTGTTGTTATATTGTGATATTGTGGCATTGAATTGTTGCCAATGTTAGCTGCTCTGAGTCCCCCCTTGTGAAGGGCGAGGTAAAAATGTTGTAAATAAATAAATAATAAATAAACTGAAACCCACAGCAGACTGAATGCCCCATTGACATTCAACTTATGGACCTCTATTAATCAGAAAGGCTATTGTGAAAAGAAATTGACAGAAATGTCAGTTTCATCCAGCCTTGTTGTACTGACTTCTTGCATTTGCATTTTCTCATTTTTTCAATTATTTTATCCAAGTCGTACTCTTCAAGATGATTCTTGAAAACACACACATATTTTTATGTTTCATATGATCAGTCATAAACACCAGATTATTATTGGTTAGAATGCAGCATTGGGCACTGGTCTTCATAAATGGCAAGTAAGAGGATTGACTATTTTTGGAATGTCCATAGTTGGCTATGGGCTTAAATGACTTTCCAATATAGAGGGCACCAGCAGTGCAGTGGTGCCCAGTGTCATGACTGATATGCAATGGCTTTTATGTGCAATGGCACACTGGAACATTTCCAGTACATATCCGGGCACTATCGAGGAAGGGTTGAAGCATAACAGAAGTGCCCATTGTGCATCAGTATTGACCGATGCTCATCACAAATGCCCAGTGCACACCAGAAATGTCCAATAAGCACCCAAGTATCTGATTTATATCAGAAGCATTTTATGCTCACTGAGAACACCTGATGCACTTTGGAACCCTCTTGCACATGCCTAGATGTGTGTCATGTGGATTACCTTTGGTCACTGTAGCAGAGGAAGGGTATATCAACCGTAGTAATGACAGAATATATTCACATTATGTATGAGTTGGAATTATACTTGCAATGTCACTACAACATTCCAGCTAAAATGTGTATCTGTTTGCTATCTGAAGAGTAGATGCACAATAGAAGTGACACAATAAAATGACTTATTATTTGAAGCTTACAATCAAAAGCAGAGATGGCACCCTATCAGCCACTGAATGTTGTATCATTCACTTGATTAAATGGGGCAGCTGTGGTTTGGATCACCAATAGGCTTTCAGCCAATGTCTGAAGGACCACAAGTTGTTCACTGATGATCTAAAGTAAGGAGAGAATGCATTACAGAAAGAAAAAGGGCAACATGAAATGGAATTAATGCTCATTTTAGGTCTACACCAGCATCTTGAATTGAGCCAAGCTCAATTCAAGATGTAATAACAACAACAACAACAACAACAACAACAACAAAAACTACTACTACTACTTTATTTTTGTATCCCACCACCATCTCCCTGAAGGGACTTGGGGTGGTTTACACGGGGACAAGCCCGGTCAAACAGATGAAAACATAAAAGCATTTTACAATAAAATGTATAAAAGCAACGTCATTTTTAAATATTTTAAAAAAACTTTTTACAGTATCTTAGACAAAAGAGTATGTCATATTATATACAATCTAACAGTAAATAAACATCAAAAACATATTTAATCATATTTCTTATCATTATTTTTAAATTTCCATTACAACTTCAAAGAAACATCATAAACCACATAAGATAACATCAAAAACAGTCAATAGCCTGACATAGTAATCAAATATTAAGCCCAGGTGGGCAGGGGCTTGTGCGATAAAGTTGTAGGGACAGGGCAATTGGAAAAAGTGCAGGAGCCAGATGATAACTTAAGGCTAGAAGGACATTAGGAATGGGAACTGTTAGGGGACAATATCAGTTAGAACACTATATCTATAAGACAAGGAACAGTGGTAAAGTGCATAAGCCAACTATTAAGTTATGGTTGAGGGAGCAAAATTATCTGGTGACCTGTTTAATCAAATGCACAGTAAAACATCCACATTTTTAGTCTTTACAAAAACTGGATGGGGTGGGTGCCAGTCTAATCTCCTTTGGGAGGGAGTTCCCAGGGGACCACCACTGAGAAGGCCCTCTCTCTCTCATCCCCACCACCCACACTTGTGACGGAGGTGGAAGCAAGAGAAGGGCCTCCCCAGAAGATCTTAGAGCTTGTGCAGGTTCGTAGGGGAAGATGTGATCGCGAAGATAGGCAGTTCCCGAATCATAGAATCATAGAATCAAAGAGTTGGAAGAGACCTCATGGGCCATCCAGTCCAACCCCCTGCCAAGAAGCAGGAATGTTGCATTCAAGGAAAAGAAGCCCTTTTTATTGTATTGTCGAAGGCTTTCATGGCTGGAATCACTAGGTTCTTGTGGGTTTTTTCGGGCTATAGAGCCATGTTCTAGAGGCATTTCTTTTCGCATTTCGTTTCGCCTGCATCTATGGCAAGCATCCTCAGAGGTAGTGAGGTCTGCAAGCATCCTCAGAGGTAGTGACCTCACTACCTCTGAGGATGCTTGCCATAGATGCAGGCGAAACGTCAGGAGAAATGCCTCTAGAACATGGCTCTATAGCCCGAAAAAAACCACAAGAACCTAGCCCTTTTTATTGTTTTTAATGTCCCTGGCAAGCCTGAGCTCGTTTTGTGCTTTAGCCTTGCGGACCTTTTCCCTACAGGTGTTGGCTATTTGTTTGAATTCTTCTTTGGTGATTTCTCCCTTTTCCACTTCTTGTGCATGTCTCTTTAGGGCTATTATAGACCTACAAAGCCCTAAATGATCTGGGGCCAAATTATTTAAAAGACCACCTCCTGCCATATAAATCTTTCAGAAATTTGAAATCTTCAGATGATGTCTTCTTGCATGTCCCTGTCACTTGTGAATTTTGGTTAGTGGGTAAACGTAGCAGGGCTTTTTTTTCTTTAGCAGCTCCTTCACAATAGAACATCCTATCCATTTCCCTCAAGCTTTTGGTGGGCATGTGAGCATCCACATGGCATTTAGTGTTTGAAATTACAGTTTTAAATGTTTTAAAACTGGATTTTAGGATTATTTTTAGTCTTCTTTTGGGAGTGTTCAAAACATACTATATATATTTTTAAAATATTTTTATACTCATACTGTTTTAATTGGCTTTTATTTGTTCATCGCCTCAGGGGCTCTTGTGAGCTGGGAGGAAATGTAGAAATACTTCAAATAAGTAAATAATGAATTAGCAAATATTGCAAATGTTCAGTTTTCATAGGAGAGACTGGGAAACAAGCCAGAATGAAATAATACCTAATATTTGCATACCCTAAAGCAACACCAGGATAAAATATACAGGACTGATTTCAAGTGACTTCCTGCTGTAGATGAACAAGAGGCATTTGAGAACCATGTGTGCATTCTTTGAGGTTACCAAAAGCATGGTAAGATATCCTAGACTTAGCTTCTACCACTGAAATGGGGAAACTAGAAATCATTTCATAGGATTACCCAAAGGACTTGATTATTTATAGATAATACTTGGATAAAGCAACTTAGAAAAACTAGCAACAGTGAACATGGGGACTGCAAATTCTCTTCATGCCACCGTTCAGGTTGTTATTCTGACTTTCTGTGCTCTGGGGATAACATTCAATGCCTTTATTTTGGTCATTGGCTACCTAGACTGGGCAACAAGGAAAAAACTGCCTGCCTGTGACATGATTATAAGTTGTCTTAGTTCATCTAGACTTCTTCTGCAAGGGACAATATTGTACTCTACACTTTCCCAAGGGACACACCACTGGAACGTACTCAGGGTACAATCGGCCCTCCTCATCTTGTCCAGCACTGCTTGCCTTTGGTTTGCTGCTTGCCTCAGTGCCTTTTACTGTGCAAAGATTGGCACTTTCACCCAGCGGCATTTCCTGCTAATGAAGCTGAGAATCTCTGGGATGGTTCCATATCTTCTTCTGGGATCAATGTTGGTCTCTTTGATCTCTTCTGTCCCTTTCATCTGGACAGATTTCAGTGTTCACCTCTGTAACTCAACCAGGAGTCCTGTGAAAAACACCACCGGTGACAACACTGTTGGAAGCATCTCCTACTTCAAGGTTTTCATCCTGTACCTGACTTGGGTGACAATTCCTCTTCTGTTCTTCACAGCATCATCCACCCTCCTAATTGCATCTCTCTGGAGGCACACCAAACAGATGAGACGCAGCATGACTGACTTCAAGGATCTGAGCACACAGGTTCACAACACTGCCATTAAAACTCTGATCTCCTTCCTAGTGCTTTATATCTGCAGCTTTGTAGCTGAGATTCTGCTGGGGATCCCTTCCTGCCTATCTAGGAATCCATGGAAGCACACTATCTGTTCATTCATCGTTGCTGTATGCCCCTCCATCCATTCCATTCTTTTGATTCTCTTTAATGACAGGCTGAAGCAGGCACTCAAAGGCATTCTGCTTTCCATGAAGTGCCATGGGGGAAAAGCCTCTTCCTAAGAGCCTGCCAAAAAGAAGAGGGAGACAGTTCTGTAGCCTGAAAGGACCTGGGAGGATGAATTTACTCATAGTTAAGATGAGCAAATTCATCCTTTCAGGTCCTCTCAGAATGCAGTTATGTTTGTAAACATAGGCCTTCTATTTCTATTTGTAGTTCTTCTATTTCAGCAGCTATGTCCATTTCGGGATGCTTTTAGTAGGGGGGTTGTTGTTTTGCAAATGCACAGTGTAACTAGTTACACGCAGGAATCTGAAATGTGGAGTTGTGCCTTTGATAATATTAAATGTATTTTTCTTTCTTCTCTAGGAAGCAATATAAATTAATGGAAAAAAAAGATTTGGGTTGTTGTAGGTTTTTTGGGGCTATATGGCCATGTTCTAGAGGCATTCTCTCCTGACGTTTCACCTGAATCTATGGCAAGCAACCTCAGAGGTAGTGAGGTCTGTTGGAACTAAGAAAATGGGTTTATATATCTGTGGAAAGACCAGGGTGGGACAAGGAACTCTTGTCTGCTGGAGCTAGGTGTGAATGTTTCAACTGACCACCTTGATTAGCATTTGATGGCCTGGCAGTGCCTGGGGCAATCTTTTGTTGAGAGGTGATTAGATGAACCAGATTGTTTCCTCTCTGCTGTTTAAAAAGATTTAAAGGTTTCTTTTTAATATTTTTTCACAGAGACTATGGTGTTCAAACATTTTCATTGTCTCTATTAAAACACACCGGAATCTGAATTCTACCAGTACTCATGGTTGTAATGATTTATACACTAATTATTTTTTAACTTCAATCTCTGGTTGATCAAGGCATTAAGAAATTGGGAGCCCAATTGACAGAGCTCAATGGCTACTAGGGTTCTTTCTACAGTTTTATTCTGAGAAGGCTGAGAGGAGATATGATAGCCATGTATAAATATGTGAGAGGAAGACACAGGGAGGAGGGAGCAAGCTTGTTTTCTGCTTCCTTGGAGACTAGGACGCGGAACAATGGCTTCAAACTACAAGAGAGGAGATTCCATCTGAACATGAGGAAGAACTTTCTGACTGTGAGAGCCGTTCAGCAGTGGAACTCTCTGCCCCGGAATGTGGTGGAGGCTCCTTCTTTGGAGGCTTTTAAGCAGAGGCTGGATGGCCATCTGTCAGGGGTGATTTGAATGCAATGTTCCTGCTTCTTGGCAGGGGGTTGGACTAGATGGCCCATGAGGTCTCTTCCAACTCTTTGATTCTGTGATTCTATGATTCAGTGGTTCTGTGAGTCTAGACCAGGCATGGGCAAACTTCAGCTTTCCAGATGTTTTGGATTTCAACTACCACAATTCATTACAGCCCACTGGCTGTTAGGGTTTGTGGAATTGAAGTCTAAAATATCTGATCGCAATATCTTTCTGGACTCTAAAATTCTCCAATTCTAACCTGATCACACAGGTAGGGTTATTGTTTTAAAAAAGACCAAGCTTTTAAAAATGCACAACTGTTCTGAACAAAGCTTGCCAAGAAAACCTCAAGAGTGGTTCACCATAAATCAGAATGAGCTTGAAGGTACGTAAGAAGAGCAAACATAGTAGAGGGTAGAAAGAGATGAAGCATTTGAAGGGAAGCTTTACCAAACCACACTGTTCTTTAAAATTAGAAATAAAATAATGCTGTAATTTCTTATCCATGTTGTCTCTTCAGTAACAAAATCAGGTAATTGTGAACTTCTGTTTTCCTGCTTCTTGGTAAGGGGTTGAACTGGATGGCCCATGAGGTCTCTTCCAACTCATTGATTCAGTAGTTAGGAAAAAATCCATTAAGGACATACAGAAATAACCACTGTATTTACTACAGATAAAGAGAACTTCTCTGTGGTGGCTCCATGGCTGTGGAACCCCTTCCTGAATGACATTAGATCTTCCCTCTCCCAATGTTTTGAACAATAGATGGATCAACTGGGAAGAGAATGTTTTTAGTGGACCATAATGGATAAATCTGGATTATGATTTTGAACCAGCAAACTGTTTTTAAATCAAATGTTCATAACTGTTTTAACTGTGTTAAATGGCTCCCTGTTGTAAGCCATCCTGAGTCCCTCTTCGGAGGTGAGAAGGACAGAATAGAAATGCACAAAATACATAAATAAATGTGTTTGATTCTCATTTAAAAGCTAACCATTCCACTTTGCATATATTAAACAACATGGGTGGAACAACATGGATCGACAACATGGGTGGAAGAGAAGCAGGAGTAAAATAGAGAAGACCCTGTAAAACTACAACTCCCATGATTCCATAGCACTAAGCCATGCTAGTTAGAGTGGTATCAAACCGTATTAATTCTACAGTATAGATGAACTTTAAGTTAGGAAATAAAACTTATATAATTCCTCAGTGTTTGCACTTCTTTAATCAAAACACAAATACAAAAATGCTTCCATATGAGGATATTTTATAGAAAAATTCATAGATTAGTGGAAATGCCATATTCAAGATGTATATTAGGCAATATTACTTACAGAAATGAATCTATTATGTAAAATTGCATACTAAAATATATCAACTTGGGTAAAAGGTATGTAACAGACCATATCTATCCAGATGTTTCCATCCACACTCTGGGATCCACAAGAGATGGCCTTCTATCAGTCCCACCATCTTCACAGAATGGTTTGTGGGAACATGAGAAATGATCATCTCAGTTGGTTTGGAACTCCTTCCCAAGGAAGAAATTGTACAGTCTTTTTCAACATGCAAGACGCTGATGTGTGAGTCATGATTTTGTTAAAAGACACAGAAAAACATTCAGTCATATAATCTTCCACCTGCATTCTCAAGGGTCAAAATAAACTACGTCAACTGCAGTGCACAATAAGAAGTATAATAAGGTCAAAGATATGCTTTTCTTCTTGTTTCTAATCCTCACCCTTGGTCAGATGACAGATGATGTTCCAATTTGCCTAAAGCAGGATATAGACTCTGCCATGAAACATCTCTCTGATTTGCATCCTGGGAGACTCTATGCTAAAATGGTTTCAAATAGTATTTTGCATCTATTTCCTGCTCCTAGAGAAATACCACACACACACACACACACACACACACACACACACACACGCATCTTATATTTAGATATACAAATTATACCTGATCCAGATGATAGGTTATGCAAAAACAGTGCTTGCACAATGAAAACCTGTCATTCACAGTATGCATTCTTATAGGATTGCATCTGAGAAATTGTATGATCATTGGGATATGCCACAAAATTATTCTGATGGTTTCATATTGTTGTGCCGAAAGTATGCTGAAATGTCTGCTTGTAATGTGGGAACTGAGATGGCGCAATCCTGGTTTCCCCCTGACTGTTCCTATTGGCTGTAGGTGTTCTCATCTGGGCATTTGACAGCCTTAAATCAACTTAAACCATCTTAAGCAGGACACACATGTAGTTATATAGTGGCTACATGCCTGATACCAACCTTCTACAGATACTGGGTAATTACTATGTAATGGAATTTGAAAAAAAAATCTGTTCCTGGTTTGAAAGTGTTATTTTCTGTTTACTTGTTTGGTACTTACTTTGAAAGTAGTTGTTATACTTCAGAAACTTCATTTTTGTGACTGCCACAAACTATGTTGAATTGATTGGGACTCTATGGACCTCATCACATGGCGACAGTGGCAGGAGGGGGGGGGCAGTGGCGATTCTCTATAGATCATGATGAATCTGATGGGATCTTGCAGGGGACATGGGGAATCCATCGCCCAATGCCCTGCATTGCCCCTCATTTTTTCCTGGGAGGGGCTTTCCCCCCTCTCCCCTTATTTCTATGCAACACGGGAAGCCTCCCAAGTTGTTGGAATTACCTCCTGTAATGCATGGACCTGTCATCAGGCATGGAACCCCACCAGAAGTAGATCAATGTCATGCAAAGGGATCCAGCAGGCTCCATGCCTGAAGAAAAGTTCAAGCATTGAAGAACAGGCAATTTTGCCCATCTGATGAAGTGCTATATAAACTGAAAAACAATAGCAAAATGTGCTGTAGGATGTCCTGCAAAAACAGGACAGTTTGACTGCAGTTTAATAAACCTTTTCTGTGTTTTTATGTTAGGGCCAATTAGGAAATGATATTTATAACCACGGAACAAAAATTGTGTTCCATAGTGTTATATATCTGCCAGTGTGCCTAGTTCTTGTTCTGTTTTTTAAAAAAGGCATAGTGGTTGTTTGGGCAATTACAGGGATTCAAGTGGTACATTGAAACTCTAGAATTGGGACAGTAAATAAAGAGCAATGCTAAAAAAAATGGGAATTCCATACAGGAAACAATCAGGGCAGCTAACACCTCCCAACAAAGGAATCCCCAGGCAGGAAGCAGTCAGGCTTTGAAGCTGCAATGCTAATCAATGCTAATCAAAGTGGACAATTGCAACATTCATAATTGCCTCGAACAGACAAGAGTTCTTTCTCCCACACTGGACATTCCACAGAGCCGTTCAGCAGTGGAACTCTCTGGCCCGGAGCGTGGTGGAGGCTCCTTCTTTGGAAGCTTTTAAACAGAAGCTGGATGGCCATCTGTCGGGGGTGCTTTGAATGCAATTTTCTTGCTTCTTGGCAGGGGGTTGGACTGGATGGCCCATGAGGTCTCTTCCAACTTTTTGATTCTATGATTCTATTATTCTATATAAACCTCACTTGACTAGTTTCCAACAGACCTCACAACTTCTGAGGATGCCTGCCATATATGTGGGTGAAACATCAGGAGAGTATGCTTCTGGAACATGGCCATGCAGCCTAGAAAACTCAAAGCAACCCAGTGATTTTGGCTATGAAAACCTTCAACAACATATTGCAAATAATTTTATACAGTCTAGTAAAGTGCAGCAGGATAGCTGGAATCTTGTTGATTACTCCCAGCTAGAGTAGATTAACTGTTGAATGGCAAGTCAACAGATAGATAAATACTGTGGATTCAATGACTCTATTCAAAAAACACCATATTTGAAAGCCGATGTCTCCATGTAG